TCATTCTAAGTGAAGTAAGCCAGAAAGAGAAAGAAAAATACCATATGAGATCGCTCATATATGGAATCTAAAAAAAAAAAAAATCAAAAACAAACAAAAAGCATAAATACAAAACAGAAACAGACTCACAGACATAGAATACAAACTTGGTGGTTGCCAAGGGGGCAGAAGGGGGGAAGGGATAGACGGGATTTCAAAATTGTAGAACAGATAAACAACATTATACTGTATAGCACGGGAAATGTATACAAGATCTTATGGTAGCTCACAGAGAAAAAAGAAGTGACAATGAATATATATATGTTCATGTATAACTGAAAAATTGTGCTCTACACTGGAATTCGACACAACATTGTAAAATGATTAATCAATAAAAAATGTTTTTTAAAAAGTACTTTAAAAAAAAGAATATGAAAAGAAACATATGTATGTATGTGCATGACTGGGACATTGTGCTGTACACCAGAAATTGACACATTGTAACTGACTGTACTTCAATTTAAAAAAAACCCAAAAAAATTAAGGAAAGGTGAAAAGAAACCAATTCCTGTCAACTAGACAGCTGCCTAATCCAGGAGTTCTGAGGGATTCTAGATGGAGAGAGACACAAGGCAGAAGGAGCTCTACAGCAGATCTAAGCCTCCTCGTAAGAGAAGGATCCGAGTCGGGGCTTTAACAGAAGAAGCCGTGTCATTAGCCAGGAATGACAGACAGGAGAAAAAGACAGATTCTCACTTCTCACCACCTGCCCTAGCCTCATGTAGTTCTGGGTTGGCAGGGTCTCAGTCCAACAGAAAGATCAAAAGGAAAGAACTAGAAAGAATGCCATACATCTTTACCGTAGTTACTTTAAAATCAAGTTCTAGGCATTGTAGGTGTCTCATGGGAAGAATGCTCCTTAAAGATCATGGGCTAAGCCAAGAGTGATCCCACCTGGAAAAGTGAAGGAAAAAGCAATGGACCTTGAGATGGAAAATCTAGATTCTACTTCTGCCTCCAGCACAACTAGCCATATGACCAGATAACTCTTTTTAAAAATCTGTCAAATGAAGATACTAATACACATCTTGCCTTCCTCACTGAGTCAGAGGTCCTAAGGAGATGGGAACTTCCAGCGGAAAATGCAGATATAAAGCACTATTATAGCTTCCAAGGGCTACTTCTTTTATCTTTGGAGACTCTTCAGTGACATGTTCAATTGTGGTTTAGTTCGTTTTTTAAAAGAAGAGGAATCTGGTATCGGACTTCATGTGTAACGCTTTTCATCATATTCTGAAAGCAATTTCCAGAAATAAGGAAAAAAGAGAAGACAAATTCAGCCTAGCTGGGTGCCTGAGAAACTACACAGACGCCATTGTACTATGTTTTCCAGGAATTGATTTTAAAGTTTTCTGCTTCCTGAGATATGTTATCAATTTACAGAGCCTGTGATACATTTGATACTGGTTTCATCAACTCATAAAATCAGTGTATTTGAAAGGAAAAGATAAAGAAGACAAGAGACATTTAAATACAAGCACAGTCAAGAATTTCCAGTTAAAACTTAATTACTCTGGAACATATTACTTCTCACACATAAATAAGAAGCAGTAAATCATTGTTATTAAGAAATACCCTGATTCACTCCTTTGGTAACAATTTTTAAAAATACCATCTTCACGGATGCTGATCTGTACTATCTTTCCTACGCTGACATTTCTTGAAAGCCCATTTTGTGAGAACGATTTAGCTTTATTATATGCTAAAGAATCAACTGCAAGTTGTATCACTCTTATCCTGACCAATGAGGTCACTCACGGTCGGGTCCAGATACCACTGCATAAAGAGCAAAGGGAAATGGGCTGCAAGCTCATGGCTCACCAATCATCAGCACGCAGGTAGCAAATGCTGTACAACTAAGAGCAACATTTTAGGATTGAAGTTTGGAATCACGACCCAGTGTGGACCCTTCTTTCACAGGTATTAGGAAACTTGCATAAATACAAAATGTGCATAGCCATTGGAGGACAACCTGAATGTAGCTGGTACATTTTAAGGCCAAATCTGAGTAAAGTATGTGGGATCCACTGTTTATAGGATTATCTGGCTTTATGGCTCAGCCTTCTTAGAAATCTGCCTTTCCTGGGGCGGCAGGTGGGGGAATGACAGAATTTAGATGAAGAAGAAATAGCTATTCAAGCGAGACTATCTTTTCCCTAGGAATTAAACTCTTTTTGAGAGAAGATTCTGGCCAAGAATCAGGAATGGCTACTGGGTCTTCTTCCTTCCAAAATTTTAATTTTAGTTAAGATGTCAAACCAAAAACCTTTTTATATGCACAATGAACACCATTTATACCTCTCACCCAGATTCACCATGCCAACATTTCTTCATATTAGTTTTATCTGTGTGTGTATATGTTTCTAGTATTGTTAAATCATCTGCAAATAAACTGCAGACTTCATGAACTTTCACTCTTAATATTTCAGTATTGTATCTCCTGAGAACAATGACATACACAAACATAACCATAACACCATCATCACTCTCAAGAAATCTAACATTGGCATATAATATATAATATATCATCTATATTAAAGTATCTCTGGTAGCTTTTGTGGTGTCCTTATCTTTCATTTTTCCAATCCAGGATCTCATATTGGATTTAATTATGATATTTCTTTAGTTTCCCGTAATCTTGAACAGACTATCTTCTTTAAGATTTCATGACACTGACATTTTTGAAGAAGCCAAATCAGTGGTTGCTTTTAGAAAGTCCTCCAACTTGGATTTGTTTTCTCATACCTAGATTCAGTTAGGTTAAGATTAACGTTTTGGGCAGAAAACCACATAGACAATGCTGCATCCGTCTCAATATATAACATTAGGAGGCAGATATTGTCCATCTAATCACTTGACTAAGGTGGTGTATGCTAGATTTCTCTACTATAAAGGTATATTTTTTCCCTTTGTAATTAGTTAGTAACCTGGGATAATTTGAGACTGTGTGGATATTTGTTTCTCAACAACCTTTTATTCAATGGGTTTAGCATCCATTGATGATCCCTGCCTGAATTATTTCACTAGTGATTACAAAATGGTAATTGTCTAATCCTGTCATATCTTATACATTTAGAAGCTGACAATTCTTCTGTAATATAACTGTAGATTAATAGATTCATCATTTTTATTTAATGTATTATAATCTATTAGCATTATTCTTTTTGATATTCAAACTGTCCCAGAATTGGCCGGTAGGATACCATCAGGCTGGCTCCTACGTCTTTTTGTGTTGTCTCCATCAGTTTTTAAGTAGTTCTTTGCCTCATCCTTGCCCTGCCTCTGAAAGTAATCTCTCCCCAGAATCCTAGTAAGTTGTATTAGGGGATGGTATTTAGAGGCCAAAATCTGGGTCAGGTATGCTCTCTGCTCTTGGGTGTCATTACTTCTAATCCCCTTCAGTGGGCATAGCCAACAAACATATTTCTAAAATAATTCATGAGTTCACCTGCAAATCAGTAAGAAAATGTTAGACAACATAATAGAAAAATGAGTAGTCTGCTCCTCTCTAGGATGTAGGAAGCAACAAAGAACATTATTCCCATGCTAAAAATGAGAAAAAGCCAGATAATCTACAAAATCATAATTTGTCTTAAGCCCATCAGAGAGCTGAGATTGCAAGACAACTAAGTAACCTGAATTTCAAAGACAAGGCCTGCCAAAGGACAGATGGGACATGAGAAAGGTTTCGACTCTGACTTTGGCAGAGCATGGGATAAAGAGGTGACCACCATATAAACAGGGAAGAAGAAATCAGGCACTGTCCTAAGTGCTCTTTCACTGCTCAGAACAACCATAGGAGAGAAATTACTTGTGGTCCAAAGGTAATCAACAGAGGAACTAAAAATTGTGATACAATTATGTTGAGAAGTGATATAAAGCACTCCTTATGCATAACAAAGGGATAAGGTCTATAACTGACTAATCAAAAAGTAGTATCATACACTTAACACTACTGAATTACACAGCTAAAACTAGTTACGATGGTAAATTTTATGTTTTGTGGGGTTTTTTAAATCACAATTTTAAAAAGTAGTCTCATAAGCATACTGATTAGATAACTAGAATAAACAGGTAAAATTATTTTCTTTGGGGACTTATACTTCGGATAGGAAAGCGAATAAAAGAGACTGTTGTTTTCATTATAATCCCATTTGAACTATTACATTTTACTCTTCTTTAATACGTGTGTCTTACTTTGCTAATTTTTTTGAACTC